CTACCATTGAGAAATTTTAACCAAAGTATGTTATAGACTTTTCATTAAGACCCTAAAGAATCATATCAACTTGTGGGAAATGGGCATCCAATGACCCCTTTAATAAAAATCGGCACGTACTGTTCCTGATATAGGCTGTCTAAATGAATCAATATCACATTGAATCAAATTGAAATAGTAATCAAATTGAATCAAAAGCTTGTGAATCGGAATCTGTCGCTAAAATAATCAAATAAAATATTAATTAAAATAATTCAAAAACATAAATCTGCTAAAATAAACAAAAATACATTATAATAGTTCAATAACTCAAAACAAATCTGCTAAAATAAAATAATTTAAAAAACAATCTGCTAAAAACATTATAATTACATAATAATGCTGTACTCAAAATGAGAGAGAGAAAGAAAGAACAAATATTACATTGTGATTCCTGGAAGAAAAGAAAGCCTGCACATTTTAATTGCACAAATATGCTAAAATAAAATAAAATATTTATTAAATAATAATAATATTCATTATAATAATAAAAAAAAACAAATCTGCTAAAATAAATAAAAAAACATAATAATTAAAAAACAAATTTTCTCAAATAAAATAATAATAATATAATAAAAATCAAATAATGAATGTATTATAATAATTCAAAAACACAAATCTGATTAAATAAAATAAATAATTATAATTTTTTTCTCCTGAAGGGCTGGGAATGGAGATCTGCTTCCACTTTTAGAAAACTACTGGAACCGAGTGCATTCTAACTCTTGCACAAAACAGGTTTGGAAATCAGCTGAACTGCCGTGAAAACTGTAGTTTAGTCGGTTACATCCGACACAGAGAACATGTTACTCCAAACACATGCCGTGTAAGAAGCAGCGGCGTTTGGATGAATAATTGAGAAAAAGCCCGAGGCCCGTGACCTGCCCTTCAGCTCTGTAATAAGAGTTTGGAAAGCATTTGCATCTCATAAAACATTTTTACGGATGAGTCCCAGAGATCCTCCATCACTGTCCTGCATGAACAGCTGCTCTCCTTCAGTCCGATCAGCGGCTCTCCAGCACTGAAAGATTTCCTGTTGCCTTCACACAGATGAGATGTTTCCATGTATGAGGGTTATTAATAAAGCAAGGTCCATGTCCAGTGACAGATTTATAGTTAGGGGATCGGACCAGTGCAGTGGAGGGACACAGGACACAGATTTTACCTTGGACATCAGCTGGCAACTCAACAAAGTATCAAAAGTGTTTATCGTACAAAAATGACAGAAGAAACAAGATTCTTATTAGCAGGGGAGGGGGAGGGGCATTCTCACCCGGGGGAGCGTTTGATTGGTCAAAAATCTGTTTAGTGCAGCATGTGTTCTTCTTCATATTTTCCCACTTCCTGGAAGAGAAAGACTGCAAATTTGAAATGCACAAATCTGTTCAAATTAAATGAAATAAATAATTATAATTAATTCATTAAATTATAATAGTTCAAAAACACAAATCTGCTAAATATAATAAAAAATAAATTAAAAAGTAATTAAATGCAATGCAATAAAATGTAATTCTAATAATTTAATGATGCAAACATCTGTTGAAATAAAATAAAAATAATATGAATAAATGTATGTAATTATACAGTGTGCAGAAACACAAATGTGCTAAATATAAAATAAAATAAATATATAAAAATAAAATAATTAAATTCATATTTAAAAATTAAAAAAACATTTGGTGAAATAAAAATAATTTTAATATAATTTAATTCTAATAATTTAATAATAAAATGAAATAAAATTATATTAATAAATTAATTTAAACAGTGTGCATAACACAAATTAGCATAAATAAAAAATAAAATTAATATAAATATATAAAAATAAAATGATTTTAATTTTTAATAAAATGTAATAAATGTAATAACTAAAAAAACATTTGCTGAAATAAAAACAATTATAATAAATTAATTTACTAATAATTTAACAATTAAAATGTTTGCTGAAATAAAATAAAAAATTATATTAATAAATTTATTTAATTATACAGCATGCAGAAACACAAATCTGCTGAATATATAATAAATATAAATATATACAAATGTAATAATTTAATTATAATTGAATAATTCAAAAACATTTGCTGAAGTTAAATAATTATAATAACTATTTTTAACTAATAATTCAATAAATAATTATAATAAATGACTTCAATTATAATAATTCATCAATTCAGAAACACAAACCTGCAAAACATAAAAAAATTATATGTATATAAGATGTAATTCTAATAATTTAATAATTCAAAAATATCTAGTGTGCAGAAAAACAAATCTGCAAAATATCAAAATAAAATAAATATATAAACAAATAAATAGAACAGTTTAATTATACATTTAATAATTCAAAAATATCTGCTGAAATAAAATAAAAATAATAATCATTTAATTCTAAAAATTCAATAATTCAAAAACACAAATCTGATAAATACACAAATAACAACATAAATATAAATGTGTAAAAAATCAATTCAAATACAAAAATAAAATCAAACATTTAATTATAATAATTCAATAATTAAATATCTGCTGCAAAAAAACAAAAATAATTATAATTAATTAATTTATAATTATAATAATATAGACGCTAATAGACAAACCACAAAACTACTATGCTTGATTATAGGGTTATTTGCCTTTTATGATTGTTTTGGGAATCCATTTTTGGGTCAGATTCACCGGTCATGAGCCACAGAGGTCAGGCCACTTTGAAACGTTTGCTTTGGGAGCGTAGCGTAAGGTTTAAACCCCGTGTTTATATGGACAGTACTTCCTAAAAAGAAATGGGACGGGCTGCGACAAACACTATACGAGTCAAGGTTGAAAAACACTGCAGTAATAAATCACAGCGAGTTCCCATTTGGTTTAGCGAGATGATATGAAGCAAAACAGGATTTCAGTTCTTATCGGAGCAGCAGAGACTGTATCCTCTAACCTGAATCATACGAGGGAATTTACCTCACTATTTCCACCGCAAAACAGAGAGAGAGAGAGCTCATGAACGGTTAGGATA